TCTGTGGCATTCAGGAGGTCCGGTGGACCGGTTCTGGCTCCTGCAACCATGAGCCCTCTACTCGGGGCAGGAGACTGCCAGACAAAAGAATGAAGGGGGCATGGGAGCATGGCGGTGAGGTGTGGGAAGCTGTAAGCCCCAGGCTACTTTGGGCTCATCTTCCCATCAACCGGAGGCGAGGAGTGGTGGTCGTGGTTACTTATGCCCCCACCGAAGACGAACATCCGCAGGAGGGATGCAGGCAAAGCCGATGAGTCAGATGCCTTCTATGACCTCCAGTCACAAGTGCTGGCTAAAGTGGCCACTCGGGACACAGTCATCTTGTTGGGTGACTTCAATGCCCGAGTTGGTCATGATGCTGGCACCTGGTCTGGAGTGATTGGAAGGCATGGGCCAGATCAGCTCAATAACAACGGTAGGAGGCTGCTAGATTTTTGTGCAGCCCATGGGCTTGTAATTACCAACACGCTCTTCCGGCATCGGCGCATCCACACAACATCATGGATGCATGCCGGGTCCAAGCAAGAACATCTGCTGGACTACATAGTGACGGACCAGTGGATGCGAGCCCATGTCATTGACACCAGGACCTACCGTGGAGCTGATCTGCCCTCTGACCATCAACTAGTCATCTGTAAGATGCGCCTGCCATTCTTACACTCTGGTGGTGGGTGTACACCCAGGACCCCATTCCAAACTAAATTGGCCTGGTCTCAGTTAGCTGATGAAAGTTGCAAGCGAAAATTTTATCATCGCTTGCAGCTGGGGTTGGCATCGTCCCCCACTCCTCCTGATGTCGAGGGTAAATGGGCGAGGTTTAGGACTGTGACTCATGCAGCGGCAATTGCTGCTTTGGGTACGCGGTCCAGACCTCCCCAGAAACCCTGGCTGATAAGAGGTGGTGTTCAGGTTAGTTGAGAAAAAGCGACAGGTCCACTCTCATCGGCTACAGCATCCCACGTCAGAGAATGAGGAGGTTTACCACAGCGTGTCTTTGTGTGTGTGTGTGCAGGCGTTTTAAAGTGCTTACCCCTTCTCTTCGCGATTCCAATCAGCTGTGGTGGTGGCAGTGGTGGTAATGTGAAGAGCGAGCGATATTTATACGCTGCCTGGCTGGTTTCACTTCAACTTTGACGCAATTCCCGGACTTGAACAGGAAAAAGTAATTATACACACCGTGTGTGAGTGTGTGTCTGTTTTTTCGAGTGTTGTTATTTGTGTGTCTGTGTCTTTGTGTGTGTGACTTTGTGTGTGTGAGTCTTTGTGTGCGTCCGTCTTTTTGCGTTTTTATTTGTATGTGTCTTTGTGTGTGTCTTTGTGTGTGTGTCTTTGTGAGTCTGTGTGTATGTGTGTGTGTGTCTTTGTGGGGTTTTTGTTGTCGTGGTTTGTTGTTCGCGATGTTGCGGTTGTTGCGTTGGCGCGCTTTGTGGATCTCCCCGTTATGGATGTGGTTGATGTCAGCCAGGTCGGCTGTTTATTTTTCACAGTGGGGTGGGGGGTGATGCAGTGACATAGAATTGGCCACTAAGCAGTATAGCGATATCTGCTGGCAGGGAAGGGGATCTGCGGCTGGAAGCAGCCCTGACTGACCGCAGGCCACGTGATAGACTCCAAGAGGGATCTCGGGGGAGAGGTTTACGGAAGGGGGCATGGGAAGAGAGTCCGGAAACCTGCTGGTAGGTTCCAGAAGGAAGGCGTGGCCCACAGGCCTGGATTAAGATTTTGTAGGCCCCCCGGGCTACAGGTACCATGAGGCCCCAGTAATATTTTCAAAAGGAAAACGAATGTTCACTTAAAGCTTTCGTGACTGCAGGAATTGATACTCTTTGGGTCTTTTGGTAAAGTCACATAGATATAAAAATAATAATACAAAATCACGTTTCAATCACAACACAATGTAATCGTCCTCAGGTGAAAAAATATAGCAAGAAAGCTGCTGAAGCAGGGTGTTATATAGGCCTGAAATGGGTGCAGCCCAAGGAAAAGAGAAGATCAAGGGCACCCCAAAGCTGTTGGGCTTGGCCATTGTATTGTGAGAGATTATCATGTCAATGTAGCTACCGCCTCTATATTTTTTCACCTGAGGACGATTGCTTGTGTTGCGATCGAAACTTTGTGATTATTTATTTCTTTTTCTATCTACGTGACTTTAACAAAAGACCCAACGAGTAAGGAAAACAAAGACAAGGAAAAATGTAATTGTATTTTTTTGCAAGGCTAACAACAAATAAAATTCAGCATTCACAAGTAAAATAACTTTTCACTTCATCTCTGGAGGTCCTTCAGCTGGCGCAGTGGTCCCCAACCTTATTGGCACCAGAAGACATTTTTTTCACGGACCGGCCGGGGGGGGGGGTTAATCATTGGGTCTTTCCCCCTTTTCAAAGAAGCTCTCCAGCGACGTTTGTTTTTTACTCATTTTGGCTAAGGTTAGCTTGTGGGCTTACCAAAACTGCGACCGAAACAAGTGCGCAGTGCGGGAAAGAGGCGCGGACGGAAGTCGTAATTAAAATAATGGGCGGGCCACGCGCGGACTTACCGCTCACCTCCTGCTGTGCGGCCCGGTTCCTAATACATTAAAGCGAGAATCATGAATGTTAAAGTGAGAATCATGAACATGAAAGTGAGAATCATGAATGTTAAAGTGAGAATCATGAATGTTGAAGCGAGAATCATGAATGTTGAAGCGAGAATCATGAATGTTAAAGCGAGAATCATGAATGTTAAAGCAAGAATCATGAATGTTGAAGCGAGAATCATGAATGTTAAAGCGAGAATCTTGAATGTTAAAGTGAGAATCATGAATGTTGAAGCAAGAATCATGAATGTTAAAGCAAGAATCATGAATGTTGAAGCGAGAATCATGAATGTTAAAGCGAGAATCATGAATGTTAAAGCGAGAATCATGAATGTTGAAGCGAGAATCATGAATGTTGAAGCGAGAATCATGAATGTTAAAGCAAGAATCATGAATGTTAAAGCGAGAATCATGAATGTTGAAGCGAGAATCATGAATGTTAAAGCGAGAATCATGAATGTTAAAGTGAGAATCATGAATGTTAAAGCAAGAATCATGAATGTTGAAGCGAGAATCATGAATGTTAAAGCGAGAATCATGAATGTTAAAGTGAGAATCATGAATGTTAAAGTGAGAATCATGAATGTTAAAGCAAGAATCATGAATGTTAAAGTGAGAATCATGAATGTTGAAGTGAGAATCATGAATGTTAAAGTGAGAATCACGTTAAAGCAAGAATCATGAATGTTGAAGCGAGAATCATGAGTGTTGAAGCGAGAATCATGAATGTTAAAGCGAGAATCATGAATGTTAAAGTGAGAATCATGAATGTTAAAGCGAGAATCATGAATGTTAAAGCGAGAATCATGAATACTCTTTGGTTCTTTCGGTAAAGTCACGTAGGTATAAAATAAAATAAATCACGTTTCGGGTGCAACACAAGCGTCGATCATCAGGTGGGACGCTTGTGTTGCGCCCGAAACGTCGTGATTTTATTTTATACCTATGTGACTTTACCGAAAGAACCAAAGAGTATGGATTCCTGCAGTCACGAAAGCTTCAAATCAAGAGAATCGTGAATGTTAAAGCAATAATCATTGATACATACCCCTAGACAGCGAAATTACACAATCACACACACACACATTATCACTAACACATAATAAACTTGATTTGAAGCTCACAAGGCAGCAGACATCGCAGCTGTCGCGATTTTCACCTGAAGACGGGTGCTTGTTTCATTCGAAAGGTCGTGATTTATTTTATTTCTAGCTACGTGACTTTACTGAAAGAACCAAAAAGTATAACACATAGTAACTAATCACTCACACATAATCACGTACGCAAGCATTAAATTGTAACAATTTTACACACTCATTCTTAATTCCACTTAATTACAGACATTAACATAACTGCACAAAAATTCTCACATTTTTAAATAATTTTATTATTTCATCACATTTCCTTTAAACATTTATATTTCACACAATATATACAACACAGCACTTGCCCCTACAGCTTGCGAGAGGCTACATGGGGGATCTTTGTCTGTGTATAAGTGCTACTAACAGCACTTGCCCCTACAGCCTGCTGGAGGCTACACGGGGGATCATTGTCTGTGTATAGGTGCTACTGATAACACGTTCCTTCGGAGTGGGCAGGTAGGAACTTGGTTGGACAGCACATTCGTGCACGACAGAAAGCTCGCGGTCACGTGATGCACTTCAACCAATCCCTGAACATACATGTTTGGGAGGGGCGATGCACGCCAGACAAATAATCCCTGGTGGGCAGTGTGAAACTGTTGTTCCTACCTGTATAATTCCACTCGTTGAGTTATCCTTCAGCGATGAGGACTCCAAACTGATTTTCTTCTCACCCACTCCGTTCGACCACCACTCGGCAGGTCACAACACTTTTCTCTCGGCTTCCTCCATGCACTGCTCAAATTTGGAAGTCCATCCTACGGTTTCAAATGTAATTATCTTGATCATTTCCATACATATTTTGATTTCACACTTGATGATGATTGCTTGTGTTGCAGTCGAAACGTCGTGATAATTTTGTTTTATGTTTTTATTATTTTATTATTTCCCTTCTACGTGAGAATATGAATGCCATAAACATGTTAACTCTTATCGACTACAACTTTGATTGTAGTGACGTTCATTGCTGACATGTTGGTCTTCTGGATCTGTGCTCAGCAACCATAACGAATGAAAACAAGCCACGCATATTCCTTCGAGTAAAATTGTCCACTGGAAAAATATCACCTCGTGGAGATGCCGGGGATTGACCCCGGGGCCTCACACATGCGAAGCGTGCACTCTACCACTGAGCTACATCCCCATGGTGTTTCTACCTGGGCTCAGTTCCACCTCGATACGGGGTGAAACTTCGTCATCAGCTTCTTCCTCTCCCTCGTCACCCCACTCACTCTCCTGTTGGCCCTGGGCCCTGTACACATCAAGTCTGCACAGAGTCCAAGCAAAATGTATTTATTTGAAAGAAATAGAAATAACAAGCATACATGTGGATGGATACTGTGATGCTTTCCCGATTTATTTATTATTGGAAATATTAATTCGGAAATAAAAAAGTTTTTGGATACTTTTAAGCACTGTTTTTCATCTCCAAAATTTGAAGTAAACCATTTGATCACTGTGTGCATCGCTAGTTATACAAATAGCAAGTTCCTGAAATCAACCCAAATTCACCCTCAGGTATCGTTCATATAGGGTTATACTGGTAGGAAGCACCTGGTTCCACCAGCCCACAGGGGATTATTGTGTCCGTCCGTCCGTCGTGAATCCAAAAATGGGAGGGGTGGGGCTGGGTGGAGAGGGGAGGGTGGGGAGGGGAGGGGCTGGGTGGGGGAGGGTGGGGAAGGGCTGGTCACCCCGTGGTGCCTTAATAAAACTCAACGTTTAACCGACTCACGCCGGCTTGTGCCCAACCTCACAGTTGGCCATATTTGCGAAATACACCACGCCGCCGTTGACACTGGCCATTGACCGAGAAAACCAACGTTCCTTCCAGCTCCCTCCGCAGGAATGTGTTTACGAGAGTTCATGTGCACCCCGATAACAGGGACATGGACACAGCCAATTGATTTTGAAAATCAACCTTTGTTGGAAACATACATTTTTAAAAAACTTCCAACATGGATTCCAGATCCAACATGGAGATGCCGGGGATTGACCCTGGGGCCTCACACATGCGAAGCGTGCACTCGACCACTGAGCTACATCTCCATTCTGGTTCTACCGGGGCGCAGATCCACCTGGGTACGGGGTGAAATAAAAGTGTTCTGGATACTTTTAAGCACTTGCTTTCATCTCTAAATGTTAAAGTAAACCATTTGATCACTGTGTGCATCGCTGGTTATACAAATAGCAAGTTCCTGAAATCAACACAAATTCATCCGAAGGTATCGTTCATATAGGGTAATATTTACGAGAGTTCATGTGCACCCCTATTACAGAGACATTGACACAGCCAATTGATTTTGGAATTCAAACTTTGTTTGAAAAAATAATTAAATAAAAGCTTCCGACATGGAGATGCCGGGGATTGAACCCAGGGCCTCGCACATGCAAAGCGTGCGCTCTCCCACTGAACAACATCTCCACCACGCTGGCAGCCAGCCAGGTAGCCAGCCCCCTTAACTATCGGCCCCTCCCTTTACCCCCCTTTCTTAGGCCCCTCCCCTGACCCCCCTTCCCTTAGGCCCCTCCCCTGACCACCCCCCATATCCTTAGGCCCCTCCCCTGACCCCCCCTCCCTTAGGCCCCTCCTCTGATCCCCTCCCCCTCAGGCCCCTCTCCTGACTCCCCCCTTCCTTAGGCCCCTCCCCTGACCCTCCTCCCTTAGGCGCCTCCCCTCTCCGTACCCGGCAGTAGGTCTCCACCAATCAAAGAGCTGTTTGTAAGGTTTCCACCAATCAAAGAGCTGTGTGTATTATATATTCATTTATGCACGAGAGACAGACAGTCAGACAGACAGACAATAAATCCCTGGTGGGCAGTGTGGAACATTGTTCCTACCTGTATAACTTGCCCCTACAGCCTGCTGGAGGCTACACGGAGGATCTTTGTCAGCCAAGGTCATCTTCCAAGGTCACCAGGTGAGGTCACCAGATGAGGTCACCAGCTGAGGTCACCAGCCGAGGTCACCAGCAAAGGTCACCCAAGGTCACCAGCTCAGGTCAGCCAGCCGAGGTCACCCAAGGTCACCAGCCGAGGTCACCAGCCGAGGTCACCAGCCGAGGTCACCAGCCGAGGTCAGCCGAGGACGTGGGCATCGACGAGTCGGCGGTAGAGGTCAGGGCGGTGGTCGCGCAGGAAGACAGCCAGCTTGCTCAGCAGGTTGGTGCCGCTCACCAACTCTGTGTGGGTGGTGAGTGGGGTGGTGAGGGTGGTGAGTGAGTTGGGTGAGCAGGAAGACAGCCAGCTTACTCAGCAGGTTGGTGCCCCTCACCAACTCTGAGTGGGTGGTGAGTGGGGTGAGTGAGTAGGTGGGTGAGTAAATGGGTGAGTGGGTGAGTGGGTGAGTGAGTGGGTGAGTGAATGAGTGTGTTGGTGGATGGATGAGTGAATGGGTGAGTGAGTGGGTGAGTAAGTGGGAGAGTAAATAAGTGGGTGAATGAGTGGGTGAGTAAGTGGGTGAGTGAGTAGGTGAGTAAGTTAGTGGGTGACGTGAAATATAAGGCTCACAGATGGCACCCCCACCCTACACACAAAACAAAGACAAAGCACCCCCGTGTAGCCTGTAACATACTGTAGGGGCAAGTGCTGTTAGCAAGTAGCAGCGCCTATGAAGGCTGGCACGGCACACCAGGGGGTGGGGTGGTCAGAACCACGTCCGGCCGCCTTTGTCTCCCCAGTGCTAGCGATGTTTACACACCGCACCAGGTACTCATTTGAGGCTGAGTCTACCTAGGGGAGGCCCAGGACCGGTTCAGACAATCGCCAATGGTGGTGTTGGCCATAAGCGGGAATCGAACTCGGGTCGCCGGGTTCATAGCACAGTGCGCTAAACACTACACTACCGCTCCCCACTTACGCATCCACAGACACACACACCTGACACACACACCCTACACACACACCCTACACACCCACACACCCTACACCCCATACACACACCCTACACACACACACACATACCGTACACCTCATACACACCCCCTACACACCCCCTAGACACACCCTACACACACACACCCTACACACACACACCCCCTACACACACCCTACACACATACACACCCTACACACACACACCCCCTACACACACCCTACACACATACACACCCTACACACACACCCTATACCCTACACACACCCTACACATACACCCTACACCCCATACACACACCCTACACACACACACCCTACACACACACCCCCTACACACACCCTACACACATACACACCCTACACACACTGCACCCTACACATACACACCGAGTTGGCTGGCCACGGCCTGTATGGCCAGCACGGCCTGTGGGACCGACCGCTCCTCCCGGCACACCACCTCCAGCTCTCCCACGGCGTAGCCAAAGTCGCTCACGTCCAGGTCTACGCACACGGAGCCCAGACGCTCCACTCCCTCCCCCTCCACCTCCTCCACCCCCTCCACCCCTTCAATGCCGTGGGCAGGTAGGAGGTAGCGCCGCCGCTCCGTGCCGAACTCGGCAAACGGCCTGGAGCGGTGACAAGGGGTGCGGGCGGCGGTGTTGTTAAGTCTACGCGGTGGTGGTGTGTTAAGTCTATGGGAAGAGTTGGTTAATCTAGGGGTAGTGTTGTTAAAAGTCTACGGGGTGGTGTTGTCAAGTCTACGGGGTAGTGGTGTTCAGTCTATGGGTAGTGTTGAGTCTATGAGAAGTGTTGAGTCTATGGGTAGTGTTGAGTCTATGGGTAGTGCTGAGTCTATGGGTAGTGTTGAGTCTATGGGTGGTGTTGAGTCTATGGGTAGTGCTGAGTCTATGGGTAGTGTTGAGTCTATGGGTGGTGTTGTGTCTATGGGTAGTGTTGAGTCTATTGGTAGTGTTGAGTCTATTGGTAGTGTTGAGTCTCTGGGTAGTGTTGAGTCTATGGGTATAGCAGTGTTGAGTCTATGGGTATCAGTGTTGAGTCTAGGCCTCGGCAAGGTAAGGTAAAATGGTAAAGGGTAAAGGTGTCGACATGCCAAGGGGTAAGGTAAAGGGTAGGATAAAGGTAGCTCGGAAGATATACCCAGTAGGGTAAAGGTAGCGCGAAGTATTACCCGGTAAATACGGTACCTTGTTAACCGCTAAAAGCTCTGTGGCGCAGTCCGTGGCCTCCATTTAAAAGTAATATTAAAAAAAACTTTTTTTAAACACGCTTTTGTGAAATGTACTAGTAATGGCAGAACTCCACGACTCCAGGAAGTGGCCCCGAAGCTTCTCACAATGTAAGGGACCGTGGCCAATTACAGCCAACGTGAGTTGAGCGTGGACAATTAGACCCAAGCCGAAACATAACGTATAAAAATGAATGTTTAAAAACATATTTTTATGATATAATATAGTGTTGTCATCAGTATGACATAAGTATACCAAGTTTGCAGTCGATACCACATTGGGAAGTGGGTTAAAATTGAGTTACAAGATTTGAGGTTACAACAACGACAACAAACAGAGTGAGTTCAAAGAAATCGTGTAAAATTGGAATCGAGAGTATTCTATATGTATAAAGCGCTCTACCTAGCAGTTACCGTTATAAACCTTTTCATGTATAGTACCCCAGTAATCACCCTGTAATCAGGTAATTTGTATGGGTAAGGGTAAAAGGTAGGGTAAAAGGTAGGCTCATTGCTTTTTACCTTTGACCTTTTACCTTACCTGCTAAAGGATAAAAGGTAGGGTAGAGTGATTGTATTGTAGTAAGGTAAAAGGTAAGGTCGGATTGTTTTTTTTACATTTTAACTTTTACCTTACCTTGCCGAGGCCTAGTTGAGTAGCAGTGTTGAGTCTATGGGTAGCAGTGTTGAGTCTATGGGTCGCAGTGTTGAGTCTATGGGTCGGAGTGTTGAGTCTATGGGTAGCAGTGTTGAGTCTATGGGTAGCAGTGTTGATTCTATGGGTGGCAGTGTTGAGTCTATGGGGCGGTGCCGAGGTCACCTGAGCTGCGCCCTCTCCACCAGCTCGTCAACGGTGCCCACCGCCGCGCCCACACCCAGCACGGCCGCCACCCTCTCCACGATCTCCGCCTCGCACTCCGTCTCCACGTAGCGCTGCACCAGCCGGTCCTCCGCAGTGGAGGAGGTCTGGGCGGAGGAGGAGGATGTCATGGTGGAGGATGTCACGGTGGAGGTGGAGGATGTCATGGTGGAGGTGGTGGAGGATGTCACGGTGGAGGTGGAGGATGTCACGGTGGAGGTAGTGTAGGAGGTCGCGATGGAGACTCTGGCCTCCTTCTCCTCCTGGGGGGGGGCGGCCCGCCGGTCCGGCCGTGCGCCGCCGACGCCACCACCCTCGGCATGGCCACTCCGACCGCGGGTACCTCCCTAACCATGGGTACCTCCGTAACCGTGGGTACCTCCTCCACAGCGGGCACCCTCACCGTGGTCACCGCCCCGCCCACGGGGTATTTGAGCTGCCAGACGGAGTCCCTGCGGCGGAGCCAGAGGTCGGCCAGGGCCAGCGCGAGGCTCCCGTCCACGTCGCGGTCCACCACGTCGTGACCCATCACGTCGTGGTAGACGTCGCGGAAGCGCCGCTCCGCCAGCAGGCGCCCGCCGGCGGCCAGCAGCAGCTCCTCCGTGTGCTCGCCCAGCACGAACTTCCGCTCCACCTCCACCACACGCGACATCGCGGGGGGGCGCTCTGTGGGGGGGGTGGTGGGGGGGAGAGGAGGTGGGAAGGAGAGGGTGGGGGTACAGTGAGGGGGTGTGGGGTACAGTGCGTGGTACAGTGAGGGTGTGGGGGTACAGTGAGGGGTGGGGGCACAGTGCCGTGGTGGGGTAGTGTGGTACAGTGCGTGAAACAGTGCGTGGTACAGTGCATGGTACCTCCACGTGGTGCCGGACGGCAACGCTGTGGTGGGCAGTGCCATGGGGGAGGGCTAACTTCGATCGGCCATTCCCCTCATTGCGTTTGTAGCCACCGCAGCGGCCAAATGGGGGCTGTGGATGGGTGTGAGGGGCTGGTAACCCCTCCACCTTCATCTAATTACCGCTGAACCACAACGGAAAAATTCCGATGATCCGGTAATTGCTGCTCACTCAGAGGAGGCGTTGGAGGCGCTGTTGCTAAACCTGGAGATTGCCACTAAGAGGTGGGGCCTTTCCATCAGCCCCACCAAAACTAAGTACCATCAGACACTCCACCCCCACAACTCCCAATGGGAGTTGGGGTAGTTGTGGAGAGTGGAGAGTTTCCCATACCTGGGCAGTGTACTCATGACCGGCTCCGGTTTGACAGCAGAGGTCGCACCCTGAATCAGTCAAGCGGCATTATCTTTTCATCGGTTGCGTAAAGCTGCGTGGAAGCTACCTGGTCTGTCGCTCCGCACGAAGCTTCAGGTCTTCTCGGCAACAGTCATTCCCTCCCTTCTCTACGCTTGCGAAACGTGGACCCCCCTAATGGAACATCTTCGCCGGTTAGAAACATTTATGTTGGCCTGCCTACAATCCATCCTGGGTTTAAACTGCAGGCTAGATTGTGTGAGCTCACAAATTCTTGAAAGATCTGGAGAAAGTCCCATCGGTGAGCTCCTCCGGCAGGCAAGGCTGCGTTGGCTGGGTCATGTAGCCCAGCCACCGAGTGCCTAAACAGCTTTTGTTTGGCCAGAAAAAGGGGGCTAAACGGGCGCCTCACGGGCCAGAGAAGAGATGGAGTGATGGGGTACAGGAAGATGTGCAGCTGAGTGGACTTGCCAATGATTGGAACCAGCGGTGTCAAGATCGGCCTCTGTGGAGGAGGCTCGTGAAGGACGCTGCTACTGGGAGAGTGGAGCGACGCTCACAACGAGCGGAGCGTGGGGTGGCTAAAGCACAGCGAGTTGGCACAGTCGGCGGCACAGGTGGTGCATCAGCCAGTCATCTTGGTCATCTCATCTCGGTCATCTCAGTCAGTCGACCCGTGGCACCTGGGTCTGCCCCGTGACCACCTGCCAACGGGCGTTCGACACTTCACGTGGCCTCAAGGTGCACATAGCCTGGCACTAGCGCCGTGGTGATGTCACCGCCACTTAGTGGCGAATGGCTGTTGTTGTTGTTGGTACAGTGACGAGGGGGCACAGAGTGAGGCAGTGGAGTGTTGAGTGAGGAATCCGAAAAGCTGAGAAGCTCTTTGTCACGCCGGAGGCGGTGACGAAGATGCTAGCCCACTGTACAAATCGACAAATCATCATCACTATCATCACCGCCATCATCATCATCACCACCATCATCATCACCACCACCGCCATCACCACCACCGCCATCATCACCACTACCACCAACATCACCACCGCCGCTGCCACCACCGCCACCACCACCGCCACCACCGTCACCACCACCGCCACCACCACCATTATCACCATCACCACCATCATCACCACCATCTCTATCATCATCATTATCATCATCATCACCGCCATCACCACTACCACCAACATTACCACCAACATTACCACCACCACTCACGACTCACCACCACAGGCCTCGTAGAACATGGACTCGAATCGAAATCGTTCAAGGATCGTGAATCCAACAGCGAAACGTCCAGATTCGATAGCGGATCGATTCCCGAATCATGGATCCACATTAATCGTAAAGATTTGATCGTGGATCGATTTCCAGGTCGTGTTCCAACGGGGAATCGTAAAAATGCGATAGTGGATCTATTACCGGATCGTAGATCTAGAGGGAATCGTAAACATTCGATAGTGGATCGAGGGCCGGATCGTTGATCTACCGTTAATCGTAAGGATTCGGTAGTGGGTCGTTCCTTGATCGTGGTTCCAAGGCCGAATCGTAAAGATTTGATAGCGAATGGATTTCTGGATCAAAAATCGAGGTCGAAAGATTGTAAAAAAAAAAGTGATGGGAATCAATTCATGAATCGGAGGTAGTGATGCAGTCGTGAGAATCGACAGCAAGCGATTCGTGGAACCAGGGGTTGGATGCTAAATCATTGGAATCAATCGCAATCGATTCATATCTCTATAGTAAATTGATAGGAATCGATAGGAATTGAGTGGGTGGGCGAATGAGTGGGTGGATGAGTGGCTGGGTAAGTGAGTGAGTTTGTGGGGAGGTGAGTGGGTAGGTGAGTGGGTGTGTGAGTGGGTGAGCGAGTGGGTGAGTGGGTGGGTGAATGAGCGAGTGGGCGAGTGAATGTGTGAGTGGGTAGGTGATTTAGTGGGTTGGTGAGTGGGTGGGTGAGTGGGTGAGTGAGTGGGTAGGTGATTTAGTGGGTTGGTGAGTGGGTGTGTAAGTGGGTGGGTGAGTGGGTGGGTGGGTAAGTGAGTGGGTGAGTGGGTGAGTGAGTGGGTAGGTGAGTGGGTTGGTGAGTGGGTGGGTGAGTGGGTGAGTAAATGGGTGAGTGAGTGACACGGGCTAGAGAAGAGATGGAGTGATGTGGTACAGGAGGACGTGGAGCTGAGTGGACTTGCCGATGACTGGTACCAGTGGTGTCAAGATTGGCCTCTGTAGAAGAGGCTCATGAAGGATGCTACTGGGCAGTTGGAGGCAGTCGCCCTCCAACAACAACGGAGGGCAGAGGAGCGACGCTCACAACAACGAGCGGAGCAGGGGGTGGCTAAAGCACAGCAAGTTGGCACAGTAGGGGGCACAGGTGGTGCATCAGCCACTTGTCTCAGTCAGTCGACCCGTGGCACCTGCTGGATCTGCCCTGTGACCTCCTGGTGCACTTAGCCTGGCACAGCAGTCTCTGAGTATGAGTATCAGTCTGTATGGGTCTCTGTGGGACTCTACGTATCTCTAAATATCTCTATATTTATCTCTATGTGTCTCCATTTATCTGTATGAGTGTCTATGCATATCTACGTATATCTCTATATATCTGTAGTGGGTTGAATAACCATAAGGGAAATTCTCTGAGGCAACACAGTTTTATTTAACACAACACAGAGGGGTAACGGTCCCTCACACCCAATACACTGGAGTTTTACTCTCCAATCTAATACGCCTCTCACTGCTTAATCTACAAGTCCTCCGTGAGTGAAGCTTGAATCTTCACTGTTATATAAGCTGGAGCCGACCCTTGCCAGGGGTACGGCTCTGCCCTTGGGGCTCTTCAGTCTCCAATCTTCAGGAGGCGTCTTGTCTTCAGCTGGACGACGACTGCCCGGGACCATTCAGAGGTCCGGCTTTTATACAGGTCCGTGGCTTGCTCCGCCCTGGCCACGCCTTTCTTCCAGAACCTTCCACCGGGTCCCGGGAGGGTGACATCATCCCCCAGCCCCCTCCTGGGGTCTAGGGTCTTTGTTCTTAGATCCGTTATCCCAGGATTTGCCGTTGGCCCCTCGGGTCATAGTCCTTGAACATTGGGCTTAGCCACTCTTCCGCCCCCTATTGACATGTGAGGGATGCTACCAACTGACAGCATGGGGAGTGCACAATAATACCTCTCCATCACCCCCCCCCCCCCCCCCTGCGTAGCACACAGCCGTCCCGGCTGTCAATAACCTAAAAAAAGTTAATTGTGAATCAAACAGAACGCGTGTGCCTAGTAACTAACAAAACATAACAACAACAACGACATATATACCCCAACCCCCTGTACAAATTTACACTAAAGACATATACAATGGAATCGCACACGGCCACACGCACAATCCGTGGCCAAGCACCCGCCACTCGTGGAAAAAAAACGTGACCGACCGACGGCAGAGAACGGCAATAGTCACCGTTGGCGCGAGAGCAGGTGGGTTGTGTGGTGCGTGTGTGTGTGGAGAGCGCGAACGGAGTTGTGAAAAACGCAGAGTCTTCGTGCACGTGTGCGCAGCCGGTCCGTCGTAGGTAACGGCTTTGTAGGTGGTGCAGATGTGACGGGCCCTTCAGGGGGCATGTCCGGCAGGCCATGCGGCAGGAGTGGCCGGCGTGGACTGGCCCTGGCCCGTCACTCACGCATTGTCTGGAGGAGCAACAACACGACGTCGCTGAGAGCTAGGCATCACGGACGCATCACCCGGCTCGTTGGACACGTCACAAGCTCGGCTCCCGCGGTGTGTCGGTGACGCAGGAGTGCGCGGCACGACGAAGGGCTTCAGGCGTTAGGGGTGGACGAACCAACATCGTCTGCCCCATCTGACCGTGACGCATTTCAAGTTTCATTTATTAGGTATAGCCCTGTGAGCCATGTGGCTCTTGAGTCGGGTGCAACCGCAACAAACAAAATATGAACAGAGAACATCTTAAAGTGACGACACGCAACAGAAACATCCTGGATAAACCAGCAAATCTTCCAGAAAAAAACACCGTATTACAACGCTGTGTGCAAAAATCCCAGTGTGATGCAAGTCAAACAATAACAACCATAAGACAATTTAGATTAAAGTTATCAGGCCAACTCCGCACTTGGCTTAACCATATGTTTTCGAAATCACCAAAATAAAGCTATAAAATACAATGTAACAACAGTAATCATAGGAACTTTCATTCAAATTTAACAATAAAAGATATACATAACATGTACGAACAAATTTGCAGCCATATCTGGCAGCATGACACTCCGAGTGTATGATGTGTTAGTGGGTCAGTTGTAGTGTGAGTGAGTGTATGATGTGTGAGTGAGTCAGCCTACTCCACGCGATCGTGGCCTCCTCCACGCCATCGCGGCCTCCCCGCCATCGCGGCCTCCCCATCATTGTGGCCTCCTGCACGCAATCGCGGCCTCCTCCCCGCCTTTGCGGCCTCCTCCACGCCATCGTGGCAGCCTCCGCCCTATCGCGGTCTCCTCCACGCCATCGCGGTCTCCTCCACCCCATCGCGCGCACGCAGCCTGTACAGTGGACAACTTGTACGATGTCGACGGGGCCCTTCCAGGGCTTGAGCAATTCAGGCGATGTAGACAAAGACACCTAGGGGCAATATAGCAGGCCTTGTCCCCGTGGCCCACGCGTGTGTGGGTGACTTGGGGTTGCGCAGTCGCTCAATAGCACTCTGGCGAGAGCCCGAATTCATAATGGAGGCCTCACGTGCCTCAGACAATCTTCTGATGTTAAAACGCAAGTGGTCCGCGATCTTGGATTTCGGTGCGGGCAAATCAACGTGCAGCTGAACATCCACAGGTGGGTCTGCATCCCTGCCGTACATCAGAAAGAAGGGTGAAAAGCCGGTCACAGCGTGAGGAGCCATTCTATATGCGGCTAGGACCCCAGGGATCTGGAGATTCCAGTGGAGCTGGGAATCGCTAACCTGGTGGTACAACATTGACTTTTTTTGTACCCAAAAGCTTGCACACATCGCGTAACAGGGTGCTCGAAAAAAAAAATCCCTTGATCGGTTAGCAGCCGTTCAGGAGCACCTTTTTCCATGACGTAGCCCTGGAACAAAAGCCTCAGTGAAATACTCCACCCCAACCAGCAGGTACTTGTTACCCTTAGGAGTGGTAGGCAAGGGCCCCAAAATGTCCAGAGCCACCAACTCGTTGATGCAAGACACCTTGGATGGATTGTAACGGTGGGAAATATGGCTTTGCCGGCGGCTTCCGCCAAGCTCACTGGGCGCAGCCCTTCAGGAGGTTAGACATCCCGCAGCATGCCCGTCGAGAAGAAATGAAGTTGGAGCAACCCTGAGGGTCTTGTGTACCCCCAGATGCAACAGGCGCTCGTGTGCCGCCCAAACGGCTCTACCACTGCAAGGCAGAGAGCACCACAATCTTGTGTCAGCATGAGTCACTGTCCCACTGTATAAGGAGACCCTCGCGCAGGACGAGAGACGCAAACCGACCCTTAACATTAGCCGAATTTTCGGCGTGACGCCGTAAGGCAAGTAGGGACATGTCCTCTATCTGGTGGTGACCCCATTCGGCAACGTTCAGGCCCAACAAGTCATTCCGACCTGCTGGATCGACAGCATCCTCCGAGGGACCCTGGTCAGAGGAGAGCGCATCTGCCACAGCTGTGAGGGGCGGAACCGGGCCAACCCCTGGCAAACCGCCAGAACCAAGAAAGCAAGCGCACCTGTCGCCAGATGGGAGACGCGACAGTGCATTGGCGTTGGTATGTTGGGTGCCCTTGCGGTAGGTGATGGTGCAATCATAGTCCTAGGAGGACCTCGAGCCACCTCGAAAGTTGATCTGATGGCTGGTCGACACGCAAGGCATATTGCAACGGAGAGTGGTCTGATCTAACGGTGAAGTGCCTGCCCTACAAGTATGGCCGATATTGTTGAATGAAAAGGACGATGGCTAATAATTCGCGTCGAGACACGCAGTAGTGTTGTTCCGCTGGGGACAACCCCCTGCTGCCATATGCAATCACCCGTATGATACCACTGATTACCTGGGAGAGCACCCCGCCGATACAGGTATTGCTGGTGTCCGTATCAAGTATGAACGGATTCGAAAAGTCGGGGTAACTCAAGGGCAGTGCTTTCATCAGGGCATTGCGCAGCGCATCAAACGCGGGCTATTCAACCTCCCCCCAGTGAAATTTTACACCTTTTGCCATCAGGGCATGGAGGGGCTTAGCGATGGATGCGAAGTCAGCCACGAAACAACGATAGTAGGAGGCAAAACCAATTAAGCTGCGGACTTTCTCCACCGAGGTTGGGTTCGGCCACGAGCTAACGCTCTTGGTTTTGTCAGGGTCAGTGGAAATGCCCTGAACAGATGATGATATGCCCCAGATACCGCACAGGCTCACGTAAAATGTGACACTTTTGAGGCTTGAATTTCAAGTTTGCGGCGCGCATTTTCAAGAAGATAGCCCGCAAACGTTCGAAGGTGTTCGTCGAACGTGCAACTGAAGACAACGACATCGTCTAAGTAAATCAAGCACGAGTCCCACTGGAGCCCAGAGAGGACAAGCTCCATGAGCTGCTGGAATGTCGCTGGGGCCGAGTGGAGCCCCATGGACAACCTATTAAACTAAAAATGTCCTTGAGGCATTCAAAAGGCAGTTTTTGGTTTTGACACGTCGTGGAGGAGAAGTTGCCAGAACCCCGAAAACAGGTCCAGTGTGGAGAAATAACGAGCCCCTGCCAATGCGTCCAACAACTCATCCATACGTGGGAGCGGGCTAAGCATCGGCCATATATATTTTGTTTAAATAGCGAAAGTCAACACAGAATCTTAAGGTGCTGTCAGTGCTTTTTCACGAGCACAATGGGAGCTCCCCAGGGGCTGGTCGAAGGAGAGATTATATTCGCGGCTAGCATGTCGTTGACAGACAATTTAATATGCTCGTTTTCGGCCGGGCTAAGCCAAAACGGGTTCTCGTGGATGGGAGCAGCGTGACCGGTATCAATATGGTGACGCAACAATTTAGTGCATCCAATATAAAATTTACTTTTACTGAAAACCGTCGTCAAATTCTCGTAAGAGTGTGCGCAACCTTGCCTGCTGTGATCCGGACAATTTGCCAGCCCCCTGCGCATAGCGAGTCCAACCACCCTGTCATCCAGGTCCAAGCACGGTTGTGACTGAGGACCGGTACTGACATAGGCCGACGACCGGGTTTCCCAGGGGTGCCCGTGTCGCATGAGCGAGCACAGTCCCCTGGGGAACAACAGTCAGACGCAACCTGGCATACAGGACCTGGATGAACGGGTCCCAGTCACTCGCTACGAGAGTCTGTGCGGCTACGAGTTTGAGGCCCCGAATCGCGGTATTAGACAGCCCCAACAAAACACCATTTGCTGACGCCCCCGGGTCAAGCGGTTTCCGTAAACAAAGGGGCACTAGTATCTGCGCACCCCAGGGGAATTCGCACCATTGCAGGCAGGCCAGTGCTTCCACCATGGTGCAGGCCATGCGCAACTGCGTGGGGGAAGGCAGGAATGCCATACGCCGGCCGGAGGGGAGCTCAATAGATCCCTGGTCAATGAGGATGCAGATAGGCATTCTGGCAAGAAAATCTGGCCTAGTAGACAAGGCACGGCGAGGGACGAAGAGACCAAAATCGAAAATTGTGCACGAATTTGTCCAATTAATCCGAATGAGCCCCCATTAGCAGCGAAGCATGGGGCAGAAACCGGTTGCAGGGGGTGACACCGAACGGGCAGAACGTTATATCAAGTCGGACATAATGTTAGCCGACGCACCCGTATCGACAAGTATGCGGAATTCAACGCCCTCGATCGAACCCATAACAACAGAGGACCCCACGGCCGCGGCGACAACCCTATGGGCCAGCTCAGACCACTGACCAGGTCGGAGCTCCCCGTTAGAAGTACGACAATCCCGTTCCCCGGTGCCCGTTACCTGGCGAATACGCGGCGCGGTACAGTGAGGTGTGCGAGGTGAGTGCGAGGGCCGAGCAAGTGAGGTGCCGTGACTTGCCTGGGTATGACGTGAAGCCGTGGGCACCCGAGGATCCGATGGCCGCGGTCCGGAGGTGCGGCATCGAGGCGCTCGGCAGTCGGCTGACATGTGCCCCCGCAGACCGCAGTTGAAGCAGGTGATGTCCAGCCGCGAAGAAGTCCGTCCCCGCTGGTGGTCGTTCTGGCGCCGTGTACATTCTGAAGCCCTCCAACCCGAAGGGCGAGTCGTCTCAAAGACTTGGTCGGTTGGAGGGTCATCAGGCGTGCAGCAAGGCACCTCGTCGACGCGCAGGCGGCGATGCTCGACTCCCGGTGGAGCAGCAGATGTGCGTGGATGCTCTTGGCAGCGCGCAGTGAGCACGTCATCGTCAACTTCACTGGGTGAAGTTCACGCGTGGTGGTGGTGTTTGTTGTGGTGGTTGGTTGTGGTGATGGTTGATGTGGTAGTGATTGTGATGGTTGTTGTGGTGGTGGTTGTTGTAGTGGTGGTTGTTGTGGTGGTGGTTGTTGTGGTGTTTGTGGTTGTTGTGGTGGTTGTGGTGATTGTTGTGGTGGTTGTGGTGGTGATTGTGGTGATTGTTGTTGTGGTGTTTGTTGTGGTGGTGGTTGTTGTGGTGGTTGTTGTGGTGGTTGTGGTGGTGGTGGTTGTGGTGATAGTGATTGTTGTTGTGGTGGTGGTTGTTGTTGTTGTTGCTCTACCGCCTTCTCACTGGTGAGCACCAGGGCCACGTGGCGCCTCGTCGACTCGCCCTCGTGGGGAGTTCCCAGCAGCGTCAGTGGTGATCCACCAACCCCCCCCCCCCCCCCCCCCACAGTGCTGGGTCACAGCGAGGCTGCAGGGTGCCCCTCAGGGCCTCTCTTTTTGTTGTCGCCAGCGCGGGACTCCCTCAGTGGTGGGAATCTAGAATGTCAGAATCTGTGTTTGTAGTGAAGGTGGAATCCGATGAGCTGTGAAGCTCTTTGTGTTCACAGATGTTACAGTGGTGAGGGGCGGGCGTGGGGGAAGCGCATGGGGCGGTGAGGGGAGAGGGTGGGCAGCGTGCGTGGTGACGTCACCGCGTTGTGAGAGCTAGCGTGGTGACATCACGTCCATGACGCAGCAGCACATTGTTGGCGCCTTTTGTGTTTGTAGCCATCTCTTTATTTGTTTATTAATTTGTAGATTTAACTTGCTTGGCAGTGGCTGTGTAGAGGATTTGGTCATCGTGTTTCATTAATGAACAGCGTTGCGGGATGCAGTGAGCACGAATGACGCTGTAGACAACTACGTTGTTGGTGTTCTGTACTTTTATTGTAGAATCGACGATGCAAGCGTCAGAATGCCACTGTCGTACGTGTACATTTATACTTTTAAAAATCAATATTATTGTTGTATTTCTCCCACAACCCATGACACCACCAGTGTATAAACACATCCCAGTTCACCATTGCTAATTATACACCCCTACACTACAGTCACGCTGCTCTGGCAGGGTGAATACATCCACGTTAGCCTCACACACACACAGAGTGGCACTTATTTTATCACCCCCCCCCCCCCATGAAGGTAGTGAGGATTGTTTATACTCAGCCCTCCCCCCGGCCGTTGTGATGGAGAGGCACACAGCCCCTAGCCACCGACAGCCACCAGCCAGTCACGGGCGTGGCACTGCGCGTGACGGTGACGAGGGTGGCGAGTGCCGTGCGTCGTGGCGTCTGCCCTCTGCGCTGTTCATGTTCACCACTGTCAGGACGCACCACACAGATCCACAATCCTCACTGAGTCACCAACTTTCGACCCCATCAGCAGCCCAGGATATAGGGGATGAGTGAAGGTTTGGTGAAAAGAGTGCAGCAGTGTCATCGAGTCAGCGCTGTAAAACGAGAGCAGCCCCGCGTCCCAGTCCAGATGAACCCCGACTCTCCGCGGAGGCTCCGGCACCGACAGTGAGGTCTCTACCCCACCATGCCGCACTGATAAGCTTTTACCAGCTTTCTGTAGACACCAGGAGACGTCACTCCCTCCCAGGCCACAATCAGCACCACGCCCACTCCGTGGGATCGTCCTGTACGTGACTCCAATCCAACACAGCCCCGCGCTCCCCACGTCCACCACCCAGTAATGCTGACCCGATGAGAAGCTCTCAAAGCACAGGGCTTGTGACCAGCAATCAAAGCGGTGTGGGTGATGGGGGCGACCCTGGGGGACACCGCCCACCGTCACCGTCCTGAGATCCGAGGAAATCTGGAGGCGGTTGTAGGCTGAGTTTGTGTCCAGAGTTGGTGAGCGTCCATCTGTGGTGAGGACAGCGATGACACCCGCACAGCGGTCATGGCGATGCGTGCAGCAGTAGCGGCACGAGCAGTTCACGTAGCATGTACACAAAAACACGCTGGTGTTGTGTTGTCTGTTGTGTTGTAGCTCATACTGCAGAATGTGATACATTTGTAGTGACATCGCGAGATGTCACTGTGTAATGCCGGCCCTAGAGAGGCACGGCATGCGGTGTATTGACATTGCGGATACCAGTAGGGTATGGGTGTAGTACCGGCCCTAGAGGGGCTCGGTCAGTGCTGATTGATAGCGCTGGATGGCATCACGCTTGGCGTGCAGTGCAAGCCCTACAGGACAGGGTGTGGGAGTGCCGGCCGTAGTAAAGGGGTTACAAAAGGCCATGGCAAACTGGTTGACCTGAGAGGACACGTGACCGGTTAAGTCTACAAAGGGCCCCCAAGTAAGGGCTAGGGGTGGTCATGTGGTCGGAGGCCAGATCCTGCTCGAGGATTCTGGAAGGTGGTCGTGGCCAAGGGTGGAGCCAGCCACGCCACAGAGATTATAAGCTGGGTCCCCAGAGGGACCGGCGTTGTTGTTCATCCTGAAGAAACCTTCTCCTACGTTCTACAGGGTCTCGAACACGTGGACTTGGACCCAAGCTGTGGTCCGGTCCGTAGTAGCAGTTACGTTGTAATTAGTGCAGTTAGCCTGGTGGTCACCACCTGGCTAACTCCACCAGTTACGTTGTAATTAGTGTAGTTAGCCTGGTGGTCACCACCTGGCTAACTACACCAGTTGCATTGTATGTAATCAGTGTAGTTAGCTTGGTGGTCACCATCATAGGTTGTTATTCTGTTCAGGGGCAGTTACCCTGTGTTGGTGTTAAATAAATGTGTTGCCTCCAAAGAGTACGTCTGCGACTCAGTTGAATCCACTACACATTGATATGTAACACAATGATCATCACATGTATGACAAATGCATACAGGACTAGTATTTGTGTACACATAAGAGTATTCATTGAAATGTATGTACATCTGCTGGTTATCTTTATTATTTGTGTACACATACTGGCATTTGTTAATATTTGTGTACACATACGAATATTATCGTGCATTTGTGTACACATACTAATACTCATTAGTACACTTACTAGTATACAAATACTATTATTCTATAGGACACACACTAGTAAACTAATACTATAGTACACATACTCGTATGCTAATACTAGTATGTGTACTATAGAATATGTTAATGCCACTCTCACAGCGTCTCTCTACAAACACGACGCCTGTACAATAGCCACCACAGCCTTGAACACTCACATCCACGCACAGGCATTTGATGGTGGGGATCGTGGACGTAGTGTAGAGGTACAGTACAACAATGGTTCATGTTGCACTGCCCTCTGCTGCCCACTCTGTCACAACAGTTGAAAGTGTTAATTTAATTAAATAAATGTTGATGCCCGAAGCTCTCCGGGTCCTCCGGTTTTTCCCTCCACATATAGGAAGGCGTGTTTAGACTATTTGGCTGCTACTATGAATGTCCACGTGATGATGATATCACCCACTTTGTCAAGCTATCATTTGTGACAGCCAGCTCGCTTCACAGCCTATAGCACCTGCTATGCACGGTGTTCACCCACCTCAGCAATAGCCCGGCTCAACGCTGCTTAGACAGGAATCGACCCACGATGTCCAGTACGTGAACCACCGTCCCACCACTCAATTAGTGTGTACACAACATCACTTATGCTGGAATGTGTACACTACCATCTGGGTATATAAGTACACTCAGACTAGTCATGCGTACTCTTAATGAGTGAGGGAGTTGATGATTGAGTGGGTGAGTAAGTGGATGAGTGGGTGAGTCAGTGAGTGTGTGGGTTAGTAGGTGAGTGAGGGTGGGTGGGTTAGTGGCGGTGTAAGAGTGTGGGTGAGATGGTGATTGAGTGGGTAAGAGGGTGATTGAGGGGGTAAGAGGGTGATTGAGAGGGTAAGAGGTGAGTGAGTGGATAACTGAGTGAATGAGTGGGTGAGTGAGTGGATGAGGGTGTAAGTGGTGTGTAAAGTGTGATTGGGTGAGTTGGTGGGTTAGTTGGTGGGCAAGTGAGTGGGTAAATGAGTGGGTGATTGAGAGGGTAGGTAAGTGAGTGCGTGAGTAAGAGTAAGTGATTTTTTGTCCGAGAAGTGGTTTTACTGCTGCTGTGTCCTTCTGTCTGTATGCTGCACTTCTTTCAGACTACGTAACTAACTGCATGAATCGGAGCTGCGGGGGAAGGACAACAAACAAAACACAACAAGTAGTTCTAAAGAAATTAGTTTTCAAACCAGATAACTAACTGCTACGCTACCACTCCCATTTAAAATGCGCACACAGACAAATATTCACACAATCAAACACACACACGTAACAAAGACAACGACAATGAGACACACACACAGTCAGGAAAAACAAAGATAAACGCACACAAAGACAAACCAACACACACGACAAAGATCCCCTGTATACCCTGTAACAGATTGGGAGAAGTGCTGTTCGCGAGCACCTATGAAGGCCAGGGGGTGGGTGGCCGGCACCACGCCCGGCCGCCCTTGTCTTCCTCGTGGTGATCTTTACACATTGCACCAGGTACTCATTTGAGGCTGAGTCGAATTAGGGGAGGCCCAGTTACGGTTTAGATAAGCGTCACTGGTCTTGGCCATGAGCGGGAATCGAACCCAGGTCGCCAGGTTTGTAGCACAGAGCACTAACTACTAGACTACCACTCCCCACAGCCAGACACACCCATACAATCAGACACACACACAGGAAAACACACACACAGTCTCACACACAACCCAACACACACAAACACACACACAGTCGGACACAAACACAGTCAATCATACGCCATTAATCTCTTGTCATGAGACTACCATCCCGTGGCCTGCAAGGTCGATGGCACTCACGCATGAACGCCAGCAGCTTGACCACAGTTCCCTCCAGGGCTCTGATCACGGTGGTGCTGTCGTGGCTGGAACCTGAGCGTGATGCTCCCCTCTGATTGCCCCTGATGTGAAACCAGGATAATCACAGGGCGCCAGAAGAGTGACAGAGTTATTGCCTCACACACAGTCAGTACACAGCCAGTATCTCATACAGCATGAGCATAACACACATCATCATCACCACAAACAATCAGCAATCACATATTATACACAGCATCATCATCATACAGTCAGTACACACAGAACAGTTTTTCGCACAGCACTATGCCCCGTACCTCCAGTTATTGTGGTTGGCTACGTTCGGTGCATAAGAAGTTCAACATAAGTACATACATCACGTACATACATCACATACATCACGTCGTAAGCCATGCGGGGCCAGGCGTTCTCACCTGAGCGTCTCCTTCATGTGAACCTGCAGGAGACAGAGACAGGAGCTGTGAGCCGCTTCGTCTGCAGTCACATGACCGTATCGTGTCACAGGGTGGAGTAACGTGATGATTGGTAGGCAAGCTCCGCTTTTGGCTGCACCGAGTCATGAATGGCAGTCGCGCTAACAAATAAAGCCACGGGCAATTTTGTCTTCAAGGAGTCTCAACAAGAGGGCGTAGCCCCCTAAACCATTGTCACTGTGACACTAGGTTACGAGCAACCGCCATCCATGAACACAACCGTGCCCAATCATCGGTACTGCTCTCCATGCATCCATTACTATGCTTGAACATCTTTGAAGTTAATGATTTATCGATGACAAATAAAAGTAATTTAAAATTGGTAAAACAAATATTATTGTACTAGTTTGTGATAAAAAAATACAATATAAAACACATCGCAACACATTGTACAAAGTTGTGTGCTGCATGTTTTCAAGCTAGGAATTGGCATGGATCAAAGGCTTAAGTTTGAATTGAGAGCGTCTCCCATATATTCATGCATACTTATCAATTATTCATTAGCGCCCTTCTCCCCCACCAGGTATGTTAGCCTTTTCACAGTACTACTTCTATGAAACAATCAATCTATGGAATACATATTCCATAGATAATTTTCAAGCTTGTTATTTAATGCGTGCAGGAGATGTGTTTACGGTGCCTTGTGTTGTGTTTAATTCAGACTAGGAGCATGCATCACGCGTGCGAGTATTGCCAAGTAACACCACGGCATGGGACAAACGAAGAAACAAATAACCTCATCACCACCCGTCCTCACAGAGGCGCTCCGCACCTGCAGGAAGGCGAGCGAGTCCCTCTCGTGCTGCAGAGCGCGCAGGCGAGCGGCGGCTGCCTGGAGCTCGCCGATCTCCCGCTCGTGACGAGCGATGTCCTCCTCGATCCGGGACAGCAGCTCGCGCCCCTTCACCTCAACGCGACGTAGAGCCTCCCTCTCGTCCTCGTCGACTACCGCTCTCATGCGAGAGAAATGGTCTGAGATGCGAACCTTGGTCTCGGTAATGATATCCTGCAAGGATGTATGATTTGAGTTTTTTCATGAATTAATTTACAAAGCTTTTCATGCATCCTCTTGTACAGGAGGACTAATGCAATCCATAGGGGTCACATCATTGCAAAGCATCTAAAAACAATCTGCAACAAGCTCATGTCTATGGCACATTTTAAATATGATGATTTATAACAATTTCTAATTATGATTCACACACAGCCACATATATATCAAAATATTAGCCATTATAATATAATATAATGCATTACATGAATCTGTAACTATTTAGCTAAACTTGTATTTACAGGTTGTATAAATAGCTAACAAACTATTCGGGTGAAAAAACATGCAAAATATGTATTCCGAATTCAAAACCAGCAGAGGCATGTAAGAACTTGAAATATTCAGGAATCAAAAATGCAATCTACTGTAAAGTTGTCACACTAATTGTGTAGCCAACTGAAGGTGAGTCGAATCAGAGAAAGTCATCCTCACAAGGAGCATCATAGAGCCAGACCCGGACACGGTACCTGCGCCTCCTTGCGAGCGGCCTCCATCCGCTTCACGGACTCCTCCGCCTCCTTCCTCTTCTCCTCCACCACTCGCGTCTCCTCCCCTACGCGCGTCTGTAGTGAGAGACGAGACGTTACCAGGGGGAGACTCCAGTCCCCTGAGGCATCCCTCACACCGCCCTTCCCTCCACACCGACCCCTCCACAGCGAAGGCCCTCATCTCCACGCTGCCTTTGTATGGTGACTGAGATGGGGGGAATGGGCAGTGGGAAAGCTGATGCCTCGTTGTAGCAGCAGCCCGGCTGGAGCCGTGCTGGCTTGGTGTCCGTACCAACTCGGAACAAAAGGCCCATGTGCCCACAGCTGTCTAGTTTAGAAGATAAATCTAGAATACTTGTCTATCAAGTGGATGTGATATCAGTCTAAAATATCTATCCACTTAATTCCGTTACACATGAGTTATGTTTCGTGATAGTTGAGCATTCAATACATGCTGAGGCTGTTTCTTAAAACACCAACAAGGAAGATTGGCTACACAGGCAGAGACACAGAGTCATACGAGAGAGCATGGACACGCAATTATGTGTTTTTCATGACATGTTGTGCAGCCCAGTGACAGAATTTGTCACATTGTCTTGCGGTGTCTCACTCTGAGGGCCTCACCTTTCGTCTCTCGTGCTCGTCCTTCAGCGTCAGGACCTTGTGTCCTTTGTGTTCAACTGCGATGGTGCAAGATGAGCAGACCAGGCTGCTGTCTACTGTGCAGTAGAAATTCAGCTCCTCACTGTGGTGAGGGCATTTTCGCTCATCCAAGCTCGCAGTGGGATCCACCACAGCGTGCTCTCTCAACCTGGGATTCTCCACGTGAGTCCTGAAGTGTGAAAAACAGTAGGACATCTCGCATCTCAGGCAGGTCTTCACTGCAGGAGTCTGGCCGTCACCGCAGATGTCACAAACAACGGCCGTGGCCATCCCATCACCTATTCTGAACTGCTCCGCCAGGTTGGCGAGGGCCTCGTTCTTCCTCAGCTGGGGTTGGACAAGGAAGGTCGCTCGGCACTGTGGACAGCTGAAACTGCTCGCCGTCTCCCAGGCGGCCGCCAAGCACCGGAGGCAGAACGAGTGTCCACAGCTCAGCGTGGAGGGGCAGACGAACGTGTCCAGGCAGATGGAGCAGCGCAGCTCACTATCCACACTCTCACTGGGAGTCGTGCTAGCCATGATTCATGGGCTTCGCTGAGATCGCTCGCTGTGTGGCTCAGAGAGACGCTTAACCAGGACCTCTCTCTTATAGTGACGGTGAAAAAGGAAGTAAAATACTCAAAATATTTTCATTGTCGTCACTCACATCACCAGACACTGCCCGGAATGTGAACCCATGCCTTTGGTGCACAAACAGCAGCTTCAAGGTTAACATGGTTACAATACACAGCTTGACATGAACAAAATGTATCAGAGGAATCTAATATTTTAACCAATATATACATTTAAAGAAATTAGTGTTGTAATATACATCGGTGAGGCTCAGCTGCGGTGGCTCATTCATGAGATGAGTTTCGAGAGATAGACTCATCCTTCCAGAGCTCAGCACAAAAGTTGGTGTCTATGGTAAGACAGAGCAATGGATTGGGTGCCACCATGATTGTGAGATGTTATCTCACTCTCCTTATGGCTGCTTTATATTTAAAGTTTGCGTCTTTCTCTCTCTCCCCTTGGTCGCGGGAATTTGTATCTGGGTCCTCCGAGTTAACCTCCAATTTAGAATCAACATCACGCATTTAGAGTATTTGGCTGCAAACAATTTCCACCTAAGCCACTTGATTAAGCAAATTTTTTTGTGATAGGCAGGTCGCTTCTGAAAAAGAGCCACACTAGCTCAGTGAGCCTTACCTAGTAAAATAAAAATTAAATAGTTGGTATCGTTGTAGATATTTCATGATGTCCAGTAACTCCATCTGAGTGTAATTACCCCAACATGATGAGTTGCTTGAATCTCATTGTGGCATCTGAGATGGAATTTGTCTGTGGACTCCCGTAACCCATCCTGGAACCTCTAACTAGCAGTGTGAATCTATCACCAACTCTACCTGCCTCCATCACCCACTGCTGGCGATGTCACCGTCTCTCACTCTCACCTTGTCCGAAATTAGAGATTCCCATTCCGACCATTCACAGCCACACCCACCACCTATTTCACCTGCGTTGTTTCATATTCGCATGTACGAATTTTGTACACGCGTCCTCCATCCGTCTTTCTACATCCCCCTCCCCTCCCCAAGTGGTCCGGGCTTTACTCATCACACCACCTCCAACGTGTTGAGGCACAGTGTGGTGCGATGCACAGGACATCTTGGCAGCTAAACAAAGCCTAATGGCTGCTCTTCAAGGTTTTTCAGAAGAACCAGAAGTTAACTTCCCTGAGTAGAGCCCATTTAGACTTTAAAAGTAATTTTTCAAGGGGGTTTCGGCCGACACACGTCATCAAAGCATTCCATTTCCTATTTAACCTTAACAGACTGTTGGGGCAATTGCTGTAAGCGAGCACCTATGAGGGCCGGCACGGGGTTGACCTAGGGGAGGCCCAGCACCAGTTCAGATAATCGTCACTGGTTTTGGCCGTGAGCGGGAATCAAACTCGGGTCTCCAGGTTCGTAGCACAGCGCGCTAACCGCTACACCACCGCTCCCCACAATTACCCACTCACACACACTCACACACTCACCCACCCACTCACCTACTCTCACACACTTCAGAATCAGAAGAACCAGAAGTTTACTTCCCTGACGAGAGCCCACTGAGCTACGACCTGGCCAGCAGATGTAGCCAAGTTTTGTCGTTGGTGGCGTGGCCCTCCCCAACTCTCTGCCCACCACGAGAGACCCGGACAACCAAAATAACAAGAAGAGCCATTTTTTGAGAATTCGGTAAAAAAACTACAAATTTCAATGAGCTGCCACAATTAATGTAAATATGAGACGTGTATATATGTATGTGTTGAACTTCTTTCACATGGTACGTAACCAAGCGTGCTCATCGGAGGTGTGGGGGGAAAGACAACAAGCTAAACATAACAAGACGCAGTTCTAAATAAATTTAATTCGTCAATGTTTATTATTTAAAAGTGCAAAGCTCTGGTGGCTTCCTGACTGAACCGGATGAGCCTTGTGCTCAGGCAAGAGCAGGTGGGATGCTTTGTGCATGGCTTGTACGAGTGGCAGAACCGGCGAGAACTGCCTTTCTGTATGGGGGTGTTTTTGCAATAAGGTTGATGGGTTACATTTGAAAGACATTTTTTAAATTCTTATTGATGCTCATTCTTGCTTTTATTGCCGTGCGTCGCACCCTGAACACCCTCTCCTACTACTGTAATGAGAGGTTCCACCTTGAGGGACACTTCCCAGGTGAAATATTTGAATATTTTTACCACGGGCCACCCTCACTGCTTTGGAAACGGTGGTCGTGCAATGCGTGGTTAACTTGCATCGGGGTCAAAAATAATTCGGCTCAGCTTGTGCCAAATCAAATTACATTAAATTACATCCGTTAAGGAGCACGGAGTTACACAATGGGTTGCAAATGTCTTCCAAAGAGAACTCGCCCACCATATAGCTCAGTGGGCCTTACCTGGTAAGTTTTAGTTTTTGTTTTATAGACACTAATTGAGTTGGCCAAATATCAAGGTATAGGGTACCATAGCTTCGTAAAATGATGACGCCTGTTGCTGTGTAGCTATTCAGGCAGTGCATGGATTTGGTTGCAAGGCCAAGAACTTTGTCTTTCAAGTCGTGGGCACAAGACAAGTAATAACCCTATAGTCGTGCGTTTTTTAAAGAAATTTGTAAGTCTGAACCAATAATCACAGTCTTATACGAGTCTAAGTGTGTGCTGCTCTCACACAGTCGTAAGTTCGTTACAATAACAACCGCATTTGAAGTCGGCTGCAACATTGGCTCAGACTTTATAATTAGTTAACAATGGTACAACATATGTATGTAATGGTGGAGATGAGGTGAATGAATTAGATGAGAGGAAGCAATGGGCAAATCTGTGATGATGTGGGAATTTAGTGAAAGCTAAATATATGGTCGAGCCGCAGATTCAGGAGGAACAATGCGGATTCTGTCATGGTCTTGGAACAATGGACCATGCTCTTTTCCCTCTCACAGATATTTGACGGGTCCATGGGAGTATGCTTCTCCAGTCTACCTCTGATTTGTAGACTTGGAGAAAGCATATGACTGTGTTCCTCACAATATCATGTGGAAGGTACTGTGGGAGTATGATGTGCCGGTGCCGCTTTTGTTCACGATCCTGTCCCTCTATTCCCAGAGTGAGCGCTGTATACATATTCTTGCAGTTAAATCAAAATCGTTCACTGTGGGTGTTGGAGTCTGCCAAAGGTGCGTGTTGTCTCCACTCCTGTTTGTGCCTTTCATGGACAGGATATCAAGGTGCAGCCGAGGTAAGTAAAGTATCCAGTATGGGGGCATTGGGGTGGCGTCGCTGCTTTTTGCAGATAAGGTTCTTCTTGCCACGTCAGTCTGTGATCTCCAGCGTGCACTTGAACGGTTTGATGAGGATCAGCACCTTCAAATCTGAGGTCATAGTTCACTCCTAGGAGACGGTGGATCGCTCTCTCCAAGTGATGGGGGAACAGCTGCCCTTGGTGGAGGAGTTAAAGTACCTCGGAGTCTCTTTATCGAGTGATGGTAATTGGTAGCGGGAGATGGGCCTGCGGATTCTGTGGTAGTGAAGCGGGGGCTAAGTTCTCGAACAAAGCTCTCGGTTTACAGATTGGTCTACATTCCCACCCTCACCTATGGTCATGAGCTCTGAGTAATGACTGAAAAGATGAGATCGTGGGTACAAGGGGCTGGAATGAGGTTTCTCCGCAAAGGTGGCAGGCTCCCTCTCCGTGAACGGTGAGGAGTTCGGTAATCCGGACAGGAGCAAAGTCGAGCCGCTGATCCTCCAGATCTAGAGGAGCCATTTGGGGTGGTTAGGGCACCTGGTAAGGATGCTCATCATTAGACTCTGCCTGGAACTCTACCGAGAACGTCCCACTGGGCGAAGACCCCAGGGCCGGCCCAGGACATGCTGGTGAGATTGTATCGCTCGAATGGCCTGGGAATGCCTGGGAATTCCCCAGGAAAGGCTAGAGTCTGTCGTCAGGGAAAGGGAGGTCTGGACAGCCCTTTTAAACATGCTGCCGCCACGACCCTCACCAGGACAAGGGATTGAGAAATCAACAGACTAACGGAATTCATGGCAATAAATGATGATGAATGGAATTATTGATTTGGGAATCAAGGATAGCCATATAATGAGAATATGAAGATGGAACAGTAACAGTGGTGGTTATGAGGGGGAGATGAAGGGGTCGTAGGGTGAGCTAGGGAACAATAAGTGATTTACACTATGAGATCTCTTTTACCAGTGGCAAAATATAATAGTAGGTTTTTACCCTTTTAACTGGTACAGTTTTGTACCAGTTAAAAGGGTAAAAACCTACTATAATAACAATAAGTGAGTTTTGAGTGAGGAGCATACATGATTGAGAGAAGGTGACTGCTTAATGTGGAGGGTAAGTTTGTTCCAACCAAGGGGGGCAAGAAGAGAAAAAGAGCGCACAATGAGAAGGTGGAACAGAGAGATGGAGAGGTGACTTCGAATTTTATGAGTGGCAAGATATGGTGGGGCAAGACCATGAAGGGATTTGTAGACCAGAGTGAGGAATTTGGACAGGCATCTGGTAACCAGTTCGAGGTGTTTAATAGAGGATTGCAATGTGAGAATAATAGTGGCAAAATGTTACACAATGTCGATAAAAAAATTGTCCTGATTAGCAAAATGTCTTTGCTAAATATTTCACACGCCACAGGTTTTCTTTAAAGAAGAAAAATAATTGGGACACTTTTTCTTGGCGTGCCACTCATTCTGCTCTCGGTGTTCCCCCAAATTAAAATGTAATTCTTAGGTCAGGCAGTTTTTCTCATTTTCTTAAAAAAAATCTCTCAAAGTTAATTGAAACAAAAGACTGAAGACAAGACTGTAATCAGAAAATGGAAAATAACGACCGCTACAAGCACATTATGTTTACACACTCGGTACATATTACTTTCAAATGCAGATCCCAGGGCGGGGGGTGAGTTATAAAAATATATATTTAAAGGAAATCTTTAAATACCAAAAGGAAAGAACGGTTTATGAATGAAAGTTTCTGTTGGATTCAAAGTTGTGTGGTATTGGGTTATTTTGGTTTGGATTTTCCACTTTCACAACTCGCGTGTCCAACTCCAGCT